GAAAAGACTACTAATGGCTCATGATATCACTGTCAGTTACTCAGGCATCATACAGTTTCACTAGTTTACTATATGTTGATACCACACACTGTCACTACTAAACTGGAGCTTACCTAATAATATCACAGACACTTGTCCTGTTTAAATACTCCTCTACAAATTTCTATATTATATACATATCATGCGTATCCATTTAATAATTCTCATATAGTGTGATGGTTTTTTGTGAATGGATATGGTCCAGCAGACCAATATGGCTAGTGGAAATTTCATGTTTCTTCTGAACTAAAATTTGGTGATTTGTGCCAATTTTACAATGAGCAAAACTTGTATAATAGTCAATGCCTATATTGGATATGTTAGCCGCTCATGGCCAGCTGAACCCAATGGGCTGATTTCCTCTTTTTCTGTTTCAGGCATAAAAGAATACTCAAATTGGCCAACAGTTCCTCAGGTCTTTATCAAAGGAGAGTTTGTTGGAGGCTGTGACATCATGCTTCAAATGCATCAAGATGGCGAGCTAATTAACGTGCTACAAAAAGCAGGAATACAGTCTGCATTGTTGACCAAAGCTATGGATGAAGAGGAAAAGAAATAAACCGAACTATAACTAGTAGCTAAGATGGCTGGACAAATTAACCACTACATAATTACGCCAGCATAAATATGTAAAGTACTATGTATGTATTTAGATAAGAAATACCAAGACTCATCATGGCAACGTTGCATATGGTCTCTCACAAGTTATTTTTTAGCAACCTAGGAATAGATCTGCTACTCTCCTTCTTTACCGCCAATCTATTACAGATTTGTGGGTGCCTATGCCTATATACCCATACATTTGTGATCTGCCAGCATTTGACCTCATTACAAAGGAACTGTTAGTATAGTTTTTTTTAACACTGACACTGTATAATCTTTTGACAATATCTATATAAAAGACTGCACTTCATTTAATTATTTAAAAATTCCAAAATTATTTACAAATACAAAAGTATTTTCTCTGGAGTAGTTACGTGGTGTATCATAAGATCAGGAGTAGATAATAGGGAAGGAGTGTGACTTCAATAAACAAGGGAAATTTGTCATTTACTAGCCTTATAATACCTACGATTTACTAGGCATAACTCATCCAACTTGAGCTCAAATCGTACACAGTACATTCGCCTAGCATCGTGCGAAATCGTTTCCTCGTATACACCCACAATCCGGAGATACAGACTAAAACGTACGACACGATTTTCCATTCTGTTGCCAGCAAACTCGATGCGTTCGGAGCCTTATTTGAAACAAAAGGCAGCAACTAACCACAGCTTGCTCTCTCAGCCAGTCGGTGTGGCTCGAGGGAGATTGGACATCGACGCAACACTCGGCGAGATAACCTTTGACCCGGCATACAGCTACATACCGGCATACCGGCCTAAGCTGGTATGCCCCCACGCACGCACGTTCACCGCAATCAGCAGCAGCTCCAGCTCCAATCTCCCTGCGAGCCGCATGCCTGGCCGAGAGAGCAAGCTGTGGTTAGTAGCTGCCTTTTGTTTCAAATAAGGCTCCGAACGCATCGAGTTTGCTGGCAACAGAATGGAAAATCGTGTTGTACGTTTTAGTCTGTATCTCCGGATTGTGGGTGTATACGAGGAAACGATTTCGCACAATGCTAGGCGAATGTACTGTGTACGATTTGAGCTCAAGTTGGATGAGTTACGCAGAGTAAATCGTAGGTATTATAAAGCTAGTAAATGACGAATTTCCCTTGTTTATAGAAGTCACACTCCTTCCTTATTATCTACTCCTGATAAGATTGATAGTTTCCAGTGTGAACTAGCAACATAGTTCCACTATGGCAGCTCTGTGTTATACAGCCTGTGTTATGCTCATATGTAATTGGCTAAATTCTGCAGTGTGTGACAAGCTGGCCTCTATTGTTAGTGGTAGTTACAATTGAATACTTGGTGAAATAGATAGCAAAAATGAAGGTTTTTCTGGTAACCTTCAGCACACAGGCGCTTTGGTATTTTTTTGTATTTGGCACATGTACGTTTATAGTTGTGATTTATTGTTGCCACTCTGAATATTACCTTACAAAAGCACATGATAATGTAAATAGGTTCTGAAAATATGCTATGGTCTTTCTGTAGGGTTCCTCTGTATTTTATATAAAGTGCTTTTAATGACTATTATCTATCACAAGTAAAGGATAGCAGACTGTATCCATAATAAAGGATTTAATTAAAAGGCTATCAGGCTGATCTTGAATTTATTTTAAAGATGCATGCCCATGCATATTTTTGTGACAAACCACTGTAAAAACGTAAGTAAATAACTCACTACACTTTAACTGAACGTTAGCTTTGAAAATAAAACTAAAAATATGTATCAACCCTATATTCGCTCAACGAAAAAACAACTCGAAAAACACGTTTCGCCGTGGTTCTGTATCATGGCGGCAAGAGTCGATGCAGGTCACGTATAACCAGCACAGCAATAGATATTAATATAACAAGTGTTGTATGGTATCTATGAGCACATACTGCCTTCATGACCTTCAGCGCTTGGCAACACCGCATAGCAACAAGAGACGCGTCACAACATCGCCGCAGAGCAGCCAAAATAAACACTGTTTGAAACATTTGACCCGACACTTTTACTTTGTAGTCCAAAAACTTTGAATGAACGTATTCCTGAGCAATTTTCTTTTACCTATGATATCAAACATATATAGGCAAGTACAAACGTGCAATGTTAAAATATAATTCGTTTTTGCCTGATTTTACATTTGCCGCTTGAAAGTTCGAGGCAGGGCACCTTTAATACAAATTGGAAAAATATACTTGACTACAATGTAAACTTACTGAAATCAATTAATTAGCTAACTACTTACAACATGATACTGCACTAAACAGTGTTGGTTTAACCAAAAGAATATATACGTGTATATATATATACACATAATAATGTAGTTGCTTATGCAGAATATAAAACGTTTAAAACGTAATGATGCAGTTTTACAATATATATATTGAGCACACATTACCCATTTTCATGGTAAAATTATGAAATGTTTAGAGAGAATATTTTTGTTGAGGAGTTATGGCATATATTACCAAGAGTACACGAATTAGGAAATTTTAAGATTCAAAAATCTATATCATGTAGTCCCCATATTAATGCCTATGTTTATCATTTGGCATTGTAGTACAGTAGATTAGAAAAAAATCGTTCAAAATGTGAAAAAAGTATGAAAATTGGTACACTTGCATACTTTTGTATGCTCTTTCATTTAAAGACAGGACACACGCGATCCAATTACAACTTCGGTCGCTATCTTGAATTCAAAAATGGCCGCCGTCATTTCTTAAAAAATAGCCATATCTCGGTTAATAATCTTCGTACAGACTTGAAAATTGACTGACACGCGTAATTTGGGTTACTATTTCATACAACAACGTGATGCATGTGATCCAAGGGCGTTTTCGGCCGCCATCTTGAATTCAAAAATGGCCGCCGTCATTTCTTAAAAAATAGCTATATCTCGGTTAATAATCTGAGTACAGACTTGAAAATTGACTGACAGACGTAATTTGGGTTACTCTTTCATACAACAACGTGATGCATGTGATCCAAGGGCGTTTTCGGCCGCCATTTTGAATTCAATATGGAGGCCGAAGTTGTAATTGGATCGTATGTGTGTCCTGTCTTTAAATGAAAGAGCATACAAAAGTATGCAAGTGTACCAATTTTCATACTTTTTTCACATTTTGAACGATTTTTTTCTAAT